GTCGTTTATTATAGTTGTTTGTATGACGAAGGCAAGGCTTTAATTATTGGTAAAGAATAAATATATTGGATCGAGTCTTATTATAAAGTAAAAAGCTGTTTATTCATAATTTCGATCACTCAGGTCAGCAACTTAATTTTACTCGTGCAGAACTTACACGCACAAATAAGGCGTAAAAGAGACTGTTTTCTTTTGATCGATGAACTTGTTCGTTAATGGTCATCCACCATTTTGGCTTGCAAAGGTCAAATTCCGTTTTTTGCAATAACTATTCGTTTCAGCTCAAAAAAAAATGTCGGTCCTGTCCTGCCGCCCTGCCCTGCCCTGTTAATCTCTCGTCATGAGGATGAAACTTGTCAAGTGGCAGACTGCCAAGGCATTAACTATTTTTGAAGGAACTATCTTTAGAAGAAGAGGACCTTCTGACATTATGTTCTCTATTAATAATAAATTAATAAAATGGTCTTTGTTTCAGTTATACCATTATAGTAAATTTTGCCAGATATTTCTTATTAGTTCAATGAGAAAATGAATGATCTTTTTGCCGGTTACGGCTGACTAAGTATTAATAACACTTGCTTAAAAAGAGCACAAAAAATTAAGAGAACAGACAATCGAATGAAAAACCGTATTAACTAACTGCGTATGGTCAAAGAAAGATGGAAACATTGCATCATTCCCATAATCATCAATGGGCTTGCGGAGAAGGAACAGGGACAGTGTCGTTTTAAACGATCCGAGCCAATCGCCAAGTCCGCATTTTTTTTACTAGATGGAAACGGTCGTATAGCCAGGTGGGTAAGTAGTGTTGGGGAAGACCTCGACGTTTTGAAAGTTTCGAACCAATCAAATAATCCCTGTATTACTACATACATGAATCTATGTAACCACCACCGTATACTGTGCATCGCAACGGAAACCTCAGTTAGGCATATATGACCGAAATGTCATGCCTAGTCAGCAAAAGACTAAGATTGCTCAGCCAATCAAGTATTACACTTATAAATTCAAAACGTCGCATGTAGATATCATACGAGATATCATACGACTTTCGATAAAAAGAATCCTCGACCCCTTTCTATCCCATCCCGTCCCCCTTTCCTTCCCCCTCAACATGCTTTATCGTAAACTTAATATTGTGTTAGTTCGCGGAAAACCTTCCGCTGTGTTGGTGGACAAAACGTCGGTAAGTAGGACCATGTTTATTTGTGATACTCGGGAAGTTAATATTTGACACATCATTCCTTACGAGCTATTTTTACAACTGCACATTATTAATTATCTAATAGTTATTATGAATCTTTGAATCACGAGCAATCACTATGATTAATGAAAAAGGGCGGTATTTAATTTAAGATAAGCGAGAGAATTACAGCCCTTTGTTACGGAAAGAGTAAAATAGACTTTGTGTAATTACTATATTAACAGCATATCGTGGAAAATAAAGGTCCCCTGTCCTGTACCAATGTTGCTCTGAATAACAAATGACAGCATCGTGGAAATACGATACTGTTGCATTGCATGTTAGTGGAAGGTATGACCCTGTCAACCTGACGTTAAAAGGGGGTCTCACGATTTTAACTAGCATGCAGATCCCAACCAAAAAGATGCCTTATCTAAATTATCGAAAAGATTCAAAACAGAAACTTTTCTTCAATTCCAGTATTTGTCAATTAATTACTATGATTGCTGATTTCTATATCAGTTTCTGAAACCTCGTCATTATTTATATCCCAACATTTGTTTTATCGAGTATGACCGACACAGACTTTTGTGCGAAAACCATATGTGGAATCCTTTTTTAACATGCGATTGTTAATTAATTTACTGGGGCTCGATAAACCGGTTAAAATCTTGTCTTCCCATCCGTTAAAATATTATGTTTTTATACATCTTTTCTCCTCGATGCTATTGGATTCGTACCAGTTTGCTATTAAACAGATCTAATAAACACAACCCCCGGTTTGCCTCAATGGAATCACGAGTTATTTATACAATTATGGTTAGTACGCATTTTGTGTTATTGCATCCTACGATTGTTATCTCTCCTTTCACGTTGACATTGTTTTGTTTCCAATAGCATCGACAGAGTTTCATGTGCAACACGTAATAACATACAAGAAAAAAAAAGGTACTTTTTGGCGTATTCTATGATACAAGAAATACCGTGTATGAAAATGTTTATTCATTTTCTTGATATTTGTAATCATGTGCAGGGTTTTTTAAATCCGGGTATCTAATAAGATTCATCTTGATCAACTGTCGATGATTTAAAAATATTGTTTCGTGATAACAAAATTAACATTCGTATTTTAGATTTGAGTTTTGCGGCTCGTATATTTTTATGCATTGATCGAATAATTTATAGAAAATGTCCGATCAGTAAGCAAAAATCTTAAATGCGATCTCATATTGAATAGTTTGGAATGGGCGACGCATACAGACAATCAGGATTTTCAAACAATGAGCTGTCTCCTTGTAGACCAAGAGCACTTGACATGACCTTGTATGTACAAGCGTGATGCCGTATTACCAGCTATTGTACGTTCACGCGTTCGACATTTCCAAAAAAAAAAGATGTGACTGACAATCATATCAAGGGTTTTTTCTAAACAATCCTTTACGATAATATTATGATTGTTCAGGAAATGGGAGGTATGTCCTCACATAACACGGCTAGGCAAAAAGCGCTAGTTCGCATTTCTTATGACAGGATAGTTTGATAGCCGTGCACGCTACAAGTTGGGCAGAAACCATTCTAGACTTTATTTATTATACTATACTATACAGCATTTCGTCAAACATTAAAATTATATTACACTTTGTATGAATATTGTAAATAGCATCTGCTAATCCCAACATATAACTACACATTGTATATATGAATACCGTCTATAATAATCCAACCCGCATCAATTCAATCATGCAAGTCGATATACAACTTTCTATATATTTCTATTCGTACGGTGACGGAGGCCTTCCGACAAAATAGGCATCCTGTAATACCTGCTCGATGCTTGGCCTTTCGTTAGGATTCCTCGCCAACATCTTTAACAACAACTCTTCCACGAGCGTATCGCGGCAGCTGTGGCCAACCAGTTCTGCTATGGGTGTGCGGGGAAGAATTTCTTCCGAATCGTATAGCCGAGTCCGCGAGACTATATAATAGAGAATACTTCCAAGTGAAAAGATATCCATTGCAAAAGTGGCTCTGATATCGCTGTTTGATACTAATTCGGGCGACCTGAACCCCGGTGTGATGGTGCCCTGGCCATTACTCAGTTCGTCAATACGATATATGGATGAGTTGACTTCTCTCGCACGGGAAAACCCACAGAGGCGTATCTTTAAGCTACCGTTTTCTTTTAATAAGATATGGGACGGTTCGAGGTTTAGATGCTGATGGGAAATTGATATAAAGTATTTGGATCGTTTGAGTAACTCAATAAAGTAACAAGAGAAGAAAAAAAGCACCAGATTTTAAAAGCAACTTACCACTATATTTTTTGAATGAACAAAGCGCACCGCCTCGCATATATTCTTGAACAATTCCCTCTGAGATTGAGCATCTTCCCTCAGTAGTCTTAGTCTGTCCAACTCTTTTTCCAAATTTTCTCCATAATTCACCATGACGGTGAAATAAAGGTCATACTTCTGGTCATAAAGATCGTACTTTTGGTCCGTATCCGCATCGATCAGCTTCACGACCTGTTTCCCCTTGAGTTTCACAAGCAAATCCGTTTCGTTGACCCACGCCCTTTGTAGGGGAAATACCTTGACAATAAAGGTGTCCTTTGTTCGAAGGTGTTCTCCTATGTAAAGAGGATGCGCGGCGGGAACATCGAGATGGTATTTCAATAAATATCGATCCCGCACGATAATGTTGGACGGAGGGTTATCCAACACGCTTCCTCGTCGACGAAATGGCGGTGAACCCGGTGTTCGGCTTGGTTGCGGGGGATATGTGGAATCTATCGAATGACTGGGCGGAGATGTCCGTTCGGGCAAGAGCCCAGTCAATGATACGCTCAGACTATGACTTGAGCGAGTAGATGTGGATCTCGATCTACCAATTTCTAGTGGTGAGGCCGAAAGAGGTACCTCCGGTCTCGGAGTGGGTTCCTGTGGTGGGAAAGTCTGATCAGCATGATGGTACAGAAACGAGAGATTTTTTAAAGAAAAATTGCCCTTTACATACCGGTTGTGGCTCTACTGGGATAGGGGCACTACCAACGAGGTCTTTGAATTTGAGCAAACCGTGGCAACTCACGGTAAAACTAATCGTACACCTTCTGGCCCTGTTCTCCATGAGACTTTCTTTAACTAGATAGAGTTAAAGAAAAACAACCTTAGACGAAACGAACAATCACAGCAACCTCTTGACAATCAGAACCTATACTCGGAAAATTCAATCAAAGCTTCGTTCTTAAACGACAATTACCCTCGAATTTTTGTCCTTCAAACAACTTTGGCCATATCGCTTGACTCGTCAACAATACTTCCATTCGAGCGATCTTCTTGTCTTGTCTTGCCACGACTTCTAGCGTTATTTCCGGCACGGCCCAAAGCTCAAAGATTATCGGAAACTTTGATTTCCCGTCAGAGGCCTTGTAATAATTTAGAGTGCTATGCACTTGGGGTTTAGTAATGGTCCACTCTAGGTGAGCTCTGAACCTGTCGGATAGTGTGCTACGAAAAAGAAAAGAAGAATCACAACAGCATTAATATTGCGTGTTAAGCAGACTACTGCTGCAGTCAGAATTATACTTTGAAATCACAAGTTACCATTCGACATTTTCAATAAGAAAATATCCAATATGCTGTCCACACCTGTCCCCACCATAAATGGCTCTTGATAAAGTCGCAGGCGGCGGACCAGGTGTCAGCAAGAACGCACCGAACGACAACTTGCCGATCTTGGTGTCGCCGTTCTTCAGCAGTGGCTCAACTAGTTGTGGGAAAAAAGAACAATCCAGGTCAGTATTTCCTGGTTCGTTGATAGAATAATCTTAACAACAACGATAACGACAACGACAACGACAACAACAACAAGTCATCACAGCATCATACATTTATGTTGAATTTCATTATAATCTGGCAAGTCAATCACTCCTTCACCAATAATGGCAGCAGCACCAACGCCTTCCGGATCAGTGCATTTGAAAGATATCTTCCACGGACCCGGGCGATGAACGTCAAACATGATGTGTTCCTCGTACGTGACATGTCCTCTGTCGTCACTGTACATATTAGTGGTTATTGACGGTCAGTTTCATGCATGAGTGCATGCAGTATAGCTACAACGAAGAATTGAGCAACTAGTTTGTTGCTTTACTTACACTTTGGTGTTTGTTGTCACCTTGGTCATGCTAGTTGGGTCTGTGAACGTAAGTGATAAACCGACTGTTCTTTCCCTTTCCCTGGGAAATACAAGGAATCCCCTATGTCTATGAGCCGGTACGCCATCAAACATGCTACGACGACAATTTAGATACATGTATGCGTCAGTATGAGGGAGGGGACGGCGAAGAGGGAATGACGCAGTCGTGGTTCTTACATTTTGATATCCTTAATAACCATTTCAGCAATAACGCGGTCTGAAACGTTGCTATCGTCGTCTCTCATCATTATCAAGCTTAAAGTGAGGTTGGGGGGAAGGGAAGGACGGTATCTCTCTCAAAGGAACGATGTCAATTATAAATGGAGACGGCGTTAAAGAATGTGGAAAGTTTTATCGACGGATAATTTACAAAATTGAGTGTCTTATTTCCAAACGTTAACCAATAAAATATCAACTAATATGAAGGTATTGACATCATGATCTTATTAGTCGCCTTATCACAATGTTTGGGATGACCAAGCCCTACATACAAACTTCCTCATACCTTTGTCTCAACATATTTGTATTGATTCTGTGATCTACCATTTTTAATGGATTGCCAGACTTGGTAATTCATCATAGGGATAGTCGTCTGACGTTACATTACTTTAAGTTCCAGTAAGTCGTGATCATCACAAGTGGAACGATGTCGTCATATGGGTAAATGGAAAAAATGCTATCACGTGCGGATGAAGGCAAGTTTTTGTCACAGATACTAATAACACTGTCCAATTTAGACAATTAGAATCACCAGTCGCACCAATTCAAATGTAATGTTTTAAGCATAACCATACTATTAATATTTCACCGCCGTAAATAGTTGTCTTAATTATTAGAATTGCGTACGTAATGCAAAATCCAAATAGATGTACGTCCAGTTTGGTGTTATCGTCTCTTATTAAGGATAATATGAAATTATGCTTTCATGCCAAGCGTAGATTTTTTTCCGTAGTTATGATTGGATGCCCATTGCTAATTTAGCGTTTGTACAGTATTAGTTGTTATTCTGAGGAACCTTTCCTGTAACGCATATTCAAACTTGACTTTTGAATAACTTCTTTATCAGTTTGCCTAGATCAGATACGTACGGTGTGTTGTAATGGGAAGAATAGTAAATTAGTTGATTTACTACTTTTGCGTGTAATAGATCTTGTCAAAGAGTTTATTTTTCGAGCAACCGTAGTTTCCGCAGTTTTACTAATCAGTGGAATATGCTATTGCAAGAGCATACCATAACTTTACCAACCAAATTCAAAACAGTGACGACTGCTTACAGACGCAACAATGTGTTAGGTAAAAATCTCTATAGTATTTCAGTATAGAAGTAAAATAAAAATAACGCTGACGTTCAAATTTCTGATCGTACTTTGACAGGTATTGGGTCTTTTCTACGGTTCGGTTAAGCGGCAGCTGCAGAATGTCAGCCGTAATCAATAATATAATTACATACGCCGGTCGTAGACAGGATATGGTCAAGAGAGAATCATCAAATTTCGACATAGTAACGATTGTGCGACGTAACACAATCTTTGTTGAAGAATGATCTCTCTCCGATTGTTGCTTAAAACTACAAAAGCATGCGTGTCGATTAATGACGTTCAAAATCCAGCAATTTACGGTTCAATCCAATCTTCCTCAGAAAGCGAGCATAAACTTGAATGGATTCCATATTCACAAATTACCGTCATAGAGTCCGGTCAATATGAAAACATGACTATGTTACTTACAAGCGAACGGAGAGAAATATAGACCAAAGATTATGTGCTTATTCTACTGATTTCTCTACATGGGTCGGGGAAGACAAAATAGTAATACTATTGCTACTAGTTGGAAGTAGTAGCATCTGTACACTCTCACGAGTGAGTGAGATTGCCAGAAAATTCTCACTTCCAACACACAAGTACAATGACGTTAATAAGTATAGAAGACATTCCGTATGGCTTATGGAGCGCAACAAATGCATACAGGGTTTTACAAAAGATGAAAGTAATAATTATTACATGGTTTTTGATAGATGCTTTGAACATTACTATTCTCGATATGGACATTGCTCCTCATGCGAAATACTCCGATGTAGTCCCGTGTGGTGCATCTGTGGTCATAAAGAAGTAGATTATAAATGGACTAGCAAGAATTGGCGACTCGATCAGTTTATTAGGAAATCCCAATTCCAAACAAACTCTGCGAATGACGCCTATCTGGAATGGATTCCGTTTGATCGTATTGGCATTATTCCTATAATTAAGAGATCTGGAAAGTCTACCGGTTACTATGCAGAAAGACGTATGTTGTTTGAGCGCATGAACACTAAGTATAGGTATGTACGCGGACGTTTATATGGTCTACCTGTTAATAATGTTAAATTGTTTCCACTTAAAATAACTGATTGGACAGATGATTCACACATTCTGATAAGAATCGGAATCAGACACTAACTCTGATACTTCTGAATCGAGCACTTTTTCGTCTAGTTCGGGATCAGAAGATAAACATGTATGTGCAATGTCGCAAAGTGAAAAAGAAAAATTAATTATAACCACATCGTAACCGCGAAATCACAAATGGGGCGATGTCATGTGTTTTTAATCAGAGATCAGCATAGAAGTTCGTGGAACATGCGTATTTTTTTCGTATAGAACATGTGTATTGTCGTGACGTTACACGTGGGAGAGCGATCGTGTAACCTCCTTGAGATTTAGCGTCTTCCAACGGCGTATCGGCAGCGCCTACTAATGCTAATTCTTCTAAACAGTTAGTGACCTTTTAACAGGCTTTCGAATACTTACGAATGTCTCGTATCGTATACGCTAATCCGTAGATATTTATTTAACCTCGAGTATCTTAATCGACGATTATGATCCGATGGGATTAGATTCGGAAATCTGTCGTTTGGGAAAGGTTTTCTAAACTAACGCGTTTATAGACAATTAAATAAATATCCTGTATAAAACCGACAGTATGC